TTTTGACCATCGTTGAGACAGTATAACAGAGCAAAGACATCTTTATATTTGTTATATAAATGTCTTAAATACTGTCGTCGTATCTTTAAGCAAAAAGTTTTATTAGAAATTAAATATAAGTTTAAATTGGGATATGCACTATCAATTTAACATGTTAATCATTCATACTAGGTACGAGTCCGACAATTGGCATCCCAGGATCTTCCTAAAACGGTAAACCTGCATGATGTCGGCAGGTTGATTTTCATCACTTATCTTCAAGCACCAGGTTCTCTAGATCTTTGCTGTTTTTCTTAATCGGATACGACCTGTCAGATCTCCCCAGCAGTAGTATTTCATAATTATAAATCTGTATATCATAGTCATGATTGTGCTTCATGCGTTTATCACTGTTAAGTAAAGGCGGCCAAATGTCTACAACTCAAAGACTTAATATAACGAACAGGGCGTTTGCTGTTAGTCAATCTGTCCTCCGAAACCCGAATAGGATTTTCCATGTTCTGCTAATAATGAACAACTCCTCGTCGGTTTCGTAATGGTTTAATCCTTAAGGACCAGGAATGTACTACAGGAGAACTTAGTAGTCAGTCTAGAGACACCGTTAACAGTGCGACTACCAAGCCGAGTTTTTCATCAGTTTAGTCGTCGTCACATTAAATTCGGATGCACTTAGAACTGTGTTTTCGCCTGATACTCATACTATCCTTGGAGATTTTAATAACCTTAAAGGTTTTACTACCACTTTGTACTCAGACTCCAGCCACCATTAATATCTGGGAACAGACGCTGAAATTTATTGTAACGTACCCTATGAGTCGGATTATGCTACTTATGTACTTAGTAAAGCAATCGAAAAAGGGGTTATGCATCATACAGCCGACTTAATATAGAGTACAGACGATGAAGATCAAATTTGAGTAGTGTCTATGGTTAAAAATATATGTACTTTGGGTAGTGTTTACTTCGCATCCATAGGATTTATAAGTACATTAACCGTATCCAAAGTCTAAAAGTAATCATCATCGCAGGATTTATTTAAATTTTAAAAAAACTAGCAAACAACTTTTATGTATTTGTATTTTCTCGATGTCATCTTAGTGCATGTTAAGTATATACATCGAATATATTGTATGTACATATGTACGTATTTATGTACATACATATCTCTGCATGTTGTTACGTTGCATGGGTGGAAAGTTAAATAAATCTAGATATACAAACATTTCAACAAAGGTTCAAGTTGCTATAGTCTAGTTGAAAAACCAATAACAGGAGAAAATAAGTTTCTAATTTAACTTCATTAAGTACATTTTATTAAGCACGAAATATTATTCTGTATGAAAAATTACAAAACAATTTGGCGTGTTTATTTAAATTAAATATACAATTATCGATAAAACAAAACAGTAAAGTGTTTACAAGAAATGCATTTGCTTTTAAGGGATCAAGTCTCTTAATACTCCCTAAAAGTGAAAAAAATAACTGAGACTTATTATTTTTTCTGCCACATAGCAAAGGGGCACAGGGGTGTATCACTGTGGCAGCAGTGAAAAAAAAAAAGAAATAATTAAGGTCTCATATTTATCTAGCTCAAATTTTTATTAACATTTAAAATATTTAACTTATTTTCTGAACAATTTGTCACCTATAAAATTACTCACCAATTTTTATTGTTTTCCTAACATTTTCTTTGTTAATTTTTCGATTTCTTTCGAATTTTTTATATGTGTTACAAATTGAACGCAGAAAGAAAATGTATAATAGGGTTTCTTTTTTTTCGTTTTTTTTTTTTATTTTACTTTTCCTTATGTGGACTTTTATCAGACCATTGATTTGGGAGCTTTTTAGAGAAAATCTTTTTTCCTACGTTGCAATTTAATTGCGTATTTAATTTTTATTTAACAATGATTATTGATTTTTCTGGAATTCGCATATATAACACACGTTTTTTTAAATACTTTTTTTTACAAAGCACGATTTCACAAAATTTTTTCGAATTGGAAAATTTTCACACAAAAAAATTCTTTATTCACTGACAGTGTTGCCAAAACTTTAATGCCACATTGAACCAGACTGAGTATAAAAAACGCTAGAAATTATTCGAGTTAAAAACCGCTAAAATTTTCTTTGTTTGAAAAACGTTTATAATAAAAAACTATTTACAACAAATCTTGAAATAAAAATATACATAAAAAATTGTATGTACACAAATCAATTTAAGTTTAGCTGACTTTTAATTCCGCATTTAAAAATATCTGCTATTTAAAATTGTATTTCTAGACTGTATTACCTGTGTTTTTGTAGAAAAAATAACATCATTGGTAGATTTATAAAATGAGTTATTTTCTCCAAAATTATAACAACTAAACAGAGCTTGTGTTTAAATCACAAATGACCAATCTTCACCTACTTTCTATGATTATTAATTAAGACTCAATAAAAAATTAAATTGAAAACTTCAATATATTAAACTATGAAACCCGCTAATTAAACACTTGGCACTTTTTAAATATTGCTGCATTATCTACACAATATCTCCAAATCTAGCGTAAAACCGACATTTTAGCAACACTCTTTACTCAGGCATGTTGTAAAATTTAGTAGTAGAAATACAATTTTTCATAAGTGTCAAATAGTAGTTTTGCTCCACTCCTCTAGATGGCGACAGGCAGATTTCGAATATATGAAAAGAATGTTTTCGAAAACAAACAAACAATAAAAAATGTAAAATTGTATTACGGTGTAATTTTTTAAGAATTGCCAAACTAGAAACAACCATTAATTTAAAACCAAGAATAATAAAAAAGTAATTTAGAAAATATGCGATATTAAACTTCATTCTTCAAAAATTTGGTCTTCGATAAAACGTAACGAATTTGAGAATTTTGGAGAACTTAATGCAAGGAACGTATATTTGAAATTGCATTTTTGTTCGAAATTTTTAAAAATTACCTTTAGTGACTCAAACTCAAAATCGGACATGATTTTCATTAATTTTAAATTAAATAAAAAATATGTTAAAAATGACTTTTCTGAGATTTTAACTATTTGTATGATTTAAGCTTATTATTCTGATACAAATTTGCAAAAGTTTCCTTCTCTTTATAGAAATATTCTACATTGAAGTCAAACGCAAAATTAATTCGAAAGAATTTTGTTTTCTTTAATAAACTTTTAAAAATGCGCCCTCTTTGCGTCAAAAAAGGCACTTTTTAATTAAATTCCACTAGATGTCCCTTTGCTTCTTCGCTGTAAAAAATACGATATCACTTAATAAACAAGCGACATCTGTTGCTCAGTAGTTTAACAATGTACTAAATTTCTTATACAACCCTGTAACTGTCACACAACAATACTACACGACGAAGGAAATAACAAACGAAAATGTAAAAAACAAAAACTAAATAAAAATCGTACAAATTAGACCTGGTCCACACTAGGAAACTTTTGTTAAGAAACTTTTTCTTAATTCTCTTTTGAAGTTTCCTTAATGTCCACACATGAAAACTTTTGTTTCAGAAACTACGTATTAATTGCATTGATTTGTTGTTGTACGAATGAGAAGAATAATGAAACGAAACAAGTTTTCGAGTACGTGAAACTCCGTACCGCGAGAGAGATGAATGATATTCTTTCTCTCTCACGCAAAATCAAAAGTTTCCCAAAAAAAGTTTCCTAGTGTGGACCGGCAGTTAAATGAAATCCATACACACACTTTATGATTCTTTCATAAAATACGTTTCTGCATTTGTTTTGTTCTCAAATGTACGATTGTACAAATCAATGCAATTAATACGTAGTTTTTGAAACAAAGGTTTCTATGTGTGGACATTAAGGAAACTTCAAAAGGTCTAAAGGCAAACAGAAGCTAGTAGATGAGCGAAAAGCCAATTGTTTTGTTTTCGCTCTTTCTCACTTAAAAAGTATTTGTTTTAGTTTTGCTCATGTACAAAACGATTTAAAAATTTTGAAAAGTTTTGTACATAGTGGAAACGTTTGCGAAATGTTTCGTTTGTTTTCATACTCTGCATATGTTAGCTTTATTCCAGAACTTTTCTGGCTAAAGAGAATTAATGAATTTTCTCTTCGTACTTGTAAAAAGTACGGGAACAGAAAAAAACTAAATTTCTCTTTCAACAAATAAAAAATTTCAAACATTTTTTGTTTTCAATGTACTTTTTAAACAAATAATTTATTTGACAATTTTTTTTCTATTTGACAGGAAAAAATTTTCTGTCTAAAACCGACAAGTTCTGGCAAAGATAAAACTATTATTATTTCTCAATTTTGTTCTTTTTTACAATTTCTGGTAAAAACCTGCAAACATGACAAATAAAGGAACATAGCTTTTATATGAAAAATAGTTTAAAATGTCCATAGCATTTATATTTAGTTACAATTGTATTAAAAAATGCAGAAAAATAATTATTTAATTTATTAGAATAAAATTACATTCGATTTACTTTCCACTAGATTTGAGTAATCGGTTTTAAAACGAGAAAAATTATGCGAATTTGTTTTTAAACGAGAAATTTACTCGGATTCGGTTTACAGAACAGACAGCACTATGTAATATTATTTTGACCAAATTAAATAAATAAATAAGTAAATAAATAAAATATCGTTCTTTTTACGTTATTGATAATTTTCTTAATGCAAAATTTTTTAAAAACTGATTTTCTGCAAGATGTTTTATATGGAGGATAGGGTCAAATATAGGCCGATCCTCGTAAAACTTGGAGAAAGGATTTGATTTTAATTTTTAAGAATTTTGTATCCATCCCTGCATAATTTCTCACACAAGTTTTGTGCTTGCTCTGTTTTGTTGTTATAAACAATATATTTGCTTCCAAAATCCCACCATCTGATTTCTCGGATTCCGTTCTTATTAAAAATCGTTGAAAATTTAAAAACTAAACGTAGTTGAAAACTTAGCCGGCTTACAGTCGATTTTAAGCCGACGCCGACATATTTAGTGTCAGTCGCCGCCGCCTTTTATATTTGTCGGCGCAGTGCTCTGATTGAAAATAAAAAAACTAAGAAAAACAGAAAAAAATAATCATTGGAGGAATACAAAAACTAAAAAAAGTATTAATTGTATGTTTTTTAATAGTTTCTTTTTCAAAAGTACACATTTTTGGTCAAACAAAACGAAATCTCAATAAATTTTATAAATCATAAAGATTGAAGAAGTAAAAAATAGAAAAACGCATAAAGAGCATAAAATAGTTTGTGAAAAAATTCTACAGCTACTAGAATCTTTCCTGTTCACATATTTCAAGGACGCCAACTAAATTGAAACACAAAAATCATTAACAAGATCAGAAGAATCTGAAGAAATAACACACAAAAACAAGAACAAAACATTGAGTAAACATTTTAAAATAAGTTTTCAATAATTTGCCAAATCTGCCATGGCTACCGAGGATGAGTTGCCCGAAAAGCTAGATAAACTGGAGATTACACCCATCTTGCCACAAGTTAAATTGTTGGACAGAAATTTGCCAGTTCAGCTAAATCCTTTTTTCGAGAATGATCTTAAAGATATTGGAACTGATAGTAAAGTCGAACAAACTGCAATTGCCTCAACAAACGCGCAGGCATCGCCATCTACAAACATCACTAGAACATCCAATCTCAACTGTCGACGATGTCGCTTTCGTCGTGCTTCGGAAAGTGTATTGGATGAATTGAAACATACTGCAACAAATACTGCTTCAGATACGGCCGACTATATACGAACACCACCAAATGGTGTACTCAAACAAACTCTGAAAAAATCCACCTCTTCGTCGGCAGGTGGTCCGGGAAATCGTAAAGTTTTACTGCGGGAACCAGTTTTAAAAGCACTACAAACTTGTTTGCATCCTCATGGAAATGTACGAAGAAAACTCTTGGCCTCCGCTAATCCAAACCAAACAGCGGCTGGCAACGATGGTACTTTAGCTACCAAAGGTATGTCCGATTTTCGTGATTTAATTGATGAGTGTCGCAATCTATTGTCAGAAGATGTGGACTTCAGCGGTAGGCTCAATCAAATAAGTTTGAGCAATCGAACTTCTAAGAATTTCACCACTATACAGACACCCAAAATACAAAGTAATAAATTGCGCAACAATAGACGACCAATACTCAATGCGGCTACACTATCATCGCCATCGCCAGAGACAACAGCTGTGAATGCAAATCATAATGATCCCTATGCCATGCCATTGTTACAGCCTCCCGTACTGGGTTCTAGTATTAGCAGCACAAGTTTACAACAGCAACGTAATATTAACAGTTTATCACCAGAGCATGCTAGCAATCATGCTCGTTGCAGCACTACCTGTTCCCAACAGGCTGGAAATTCCGCTGCTGCCGCCGCCTGTGATGATGTGACAATTGATGAATTGGCCAGTTATTTTGATACCTTTGTGCACATCCCTAAAAAGATGTCCTCAATGGCTGAGATGATGTATATATAAGAAAATAGCAAAATGTATGTGTGTGTGTTATATATTTTTGATTTTGTGTCTTTTTGTGGCAGCAAAAGATTAACATTTATCAATTTAACGTATTATCTATTAAAAATATTCTTTATTTTTTCTCAATTGCATGTGAAAACCCCAATTTCAAGCAAATAAGAAACAAACATAATCATACCAAGAATTCTCCATAAATAATGTGTAAATAAACATAAACAAAAGAAAGATAAGAATCATTTAAATTCATATTGGAATAATTTCAAAATCTAACAACTCATTAGCCACTTTGGAGATATCATGTAACAGTCCAGGGACTGTCTAACATTTTAGAAGCATCCAACTAGATTTTTTAATCCAAAGGAAAGGTAATCATTTATATTAAGAACAATAATTATTAAAACATGCTATTTACGATTTTAAGATGGATTACATTGGACAACAAAATGTATAAAACTCAGATCAAAGTAATCTTTTCTGATCTGTTTTATTGACAAAATGTCTTAATTTAATAAAATTCATAATAGAACATTTTTGCATTCTCCTTTTGCACTTGTTCTACATATGTTTACTTGAGTATATCGTGAATCGGTTATTTTTGGACTATATTCCTAGGAACACCTCTAAATGTTAGGAGAAAATCTTTATTAATATTTCGATTTTAGTATAAAAATTTATTTAAAAAATCTTATGATTTATTAAAGCGTATTTTATAAAATAAATTTTTCTTAATTAAATATAAACGATTTCCTTTAATAATTTTAAAAGAACCAAGTGTTCAAGATTTTGATAGTATACGCCTTATTTAAATCCTCATTCATTCCAAAAAAAATATGAATAACTTTAAAATACATGCATATTTTATGTATAAAATTGAAAAATGCTTGCAAAATACCTACAGCATATAAATGCATATTTTTTCATTTTCTATGTATATTTACTTACCTTTTTATGAACTTGGTAAAGTTTCATTATTTTGCGTATATTTTCATTTTGAAAATTCTACAGAATACATTAATATGTTTTATGTACATCAAACATGCACATCTACAATACACATATACATAAATGTTTTAATGCACTTCTCTCATTTATCTTATTCTATACTATTCTTATTATTAATTTCTATAAATATTTTTTTATTAATATTATTAACTGATATTTACTATTATTAATCATTATTTTTTTAGTTGTAATAATCACTTTTTACACGTATCAGTCCATAAGAATCTTAAAGCATTGAGTTTGAATTATTTATATTGAAAATGAATTACAAATTTATATTGAAAATGCTGTGTAACAAATTGATGTTTTTTAGGATGAATGGATTTTATTGTTTAATAAAATAAATGTGTTAAAAAAATACAAAAAATATACAACAGTTTTATTATAAAATGAGTAAGAAAGATGTTAAAATTTAATTAAACACAAAATTTTCATGCTCAAAATCTTTTAATCTGCTTAATTGTAAAGGATATAGATCAAGAAGCTAATATTTTGAACTTCAAGGAGTATTAGTTAGATCGGGAGAAATCGAAATTACGAGTTCTATATTTCGCAAGTAGCAAGTTGTTGGGATTACAGTCTTGAAATTAGGACTTTATTAGATACCTGCTTCGCCTTTACGCAAACGGCAGGTTGATGTTGCAGTCTACTCGTCATTCTTTTGAATGTTAACTGGGTCGCCGGCAGCATCCACTGTTTTCTTCAGAGTCGTAAATTCTTCCAAATTTGGCGATGAGCCTACCCTTTGACGAGAATTTTGAGATGCTTTTGCCAACTTGTACAGAAAGTTAAGAGACCTTAGCAGCCCATTCCTAGCCTTCTTCTCCTTCGTTTAGACCGCATTGTTAATATATTGTGCGTCCGCGGCTAGGAATAACCTTTGCACGGTCTTCTACTAAGTGCTCCCTTTGATTTTCACCGGCCTCTACAGTGGAATATATCTCTTACCTGTCTGACAGCAAGCTCATCGTCAGACAGCAGAAATAATTTCTCTTTTGCGTGGCACTGGTTTCACCAATGGAGTCGCAGGACAGGACACGAGTTCCGGCATTGCTGCTCTGCATCTTTTTGGTCCGTCTCGGAATTGAATTAAATCCCCGACCGTGGTTATGCACATAGACATACGACCCAATTAAGATGCTCAGGAACTGCTCCGGTCTTAGTCATCAACGAGAGTGCGGTTCAGAAGGCAAAACTGCATTCTGCAAAGTTGCAACGGATTCAACGGTATCTTCAAAGATCACAATAAAAGTAACAGTGAGGGTATTGCCTTCATCATTCAGAACACAGTACAGTATAGAGCTCCTTCTTGCGATTCTAACTCCAAAGGCCAATGTGTTGAAGTGTTCAAAGACCTGAAGAGAGGTGCTTTGCTGATGGAACATATTGACTAGTCCACTGTCTGCACATTGAATGACGATGCCATCACACGGACACATCTTCAATGATCTCATAGTCAGTTACTCGCTTTATATCTTTTGGTTAAATATCTGTAGTATAGCCGCACTTCCCAATGGTCCAAGACACGTCAGCTGAGCCCGGAAATTCGCAGGTTGTTAATGAGGAAAAGCGAAAGTGATGGCTAGAACAATTAAAGAACAGCAACTTAAGTTCAGGTGTTTGTAGCAGTCTGCAGTTCGATCTTTCTCCAAGCCGATTAAGAAGGATGAAAGGCAATCATTCAGCACTCAGAGAGGACTACGTTTCTACATCCCCGAACAAGCATTAAAACACCTTGACGAACAAGTCGCGACTTCTCCTTCCTCTTCTCCTCCCACCATAGCATTAACCGCCATAACCACTCGAATCTCACACGGCTTGGCGCTTGACCTGTCGAAAGCAGCCAAGGCACACTCCTCGAGGATATTCTGAACAACACGAAGAGATAGATCGTGAATTATCTAAGTGGTGATCAGTCATTCGTAGAGTTTAAATATAAATGCTCCAAACCCCATAAACAACCAGCACCTCTACTAGTAGTGGATGGGATATCATATGTGGACGACTGTACTATTCCAATATTGGTGAACAATGCGTTCTCAATTATTCACTGCGCGTAATCTGCAACTATCAACAGCAACACTCTTTACCACCTGGACGAAAGAAGTAAATATCTTGGCGTTGTGGTTTATGGAGTTCAAATTCTGTCCTTAAAGCACCCAAAAATCTTGGTGGTGACATTTGACAGCCTATTTAAAACAGTTTTGAAATATGGAATTATGTAGAAATCTAGCACTTTCAAAGTGCACTTATTCCAAACAAGTTTTGCAAATGGTGTATTGTTGTTGAAGGTGATTAATTCAAAGAATGGAAGTGTTGATTGTGTCGGTATTTTGGTGGCTAACCGTAGGTGGCATGATAAGTTTGTTATGGCCAAATCGGTGCACGCTGATAGGGTGCTACTTCATTCAATAAGGAAAACGAATAATATTAATATGAGTTTTTATAAAAAATACAGAATAACGATACTAAGAACTCAGTTACAGTGGCAATCTGCGAACCGTTACAATCAACATCAATCATGGAACGATGAATATATAAATAAGTTGCGGAGGAAACAATAAGTGCGACACAAAGAAAAGATTGGATATCAGACAACTTAAGCTTCAGTTAAAGCAGCGGTTCCCACCGATTTTTACTTCGCGGACCCCTTGAAGAACTTATTTAATTTCGCGGACCCCCATACATATTTTGATATCTTATTGTTCTAAATAATTGTCCATCCGAAAATTGACCTAGTTCATTAATCCCTAGGTCTAATAAATGTAGAGATGTCATATTTCAGATAGGTTTTCAATTGCATGTTTTGAAGATAGAATGACTTCTTTGTTGATATGTTAACATGATGTTTAATTTTATGATCGTGAGATCTTTTATGTTCATTTTTCTTTAAGGTAGCGAAAAGGTTTCTTTATCAAATATTGTCACATGTGCTTAAGGAGTCACGTTTCAAAAATTTGTTGCGATTGCAAAGGGTGAACTGAGTAAGTGAGCTAAGTTTTCGGGAAAATAATATAAGAAAGTTGGACTTCTTCTATGTTGTTGCGGAATGCGTTATCCGCATAATATATGATTTGAACTCTTTGTTAAAGTACTGTGAATTTGGAACTTAAGTTTTAATTTTAAAATACCAACGAATTATTTTACTTCATGGTTTTTGGCTACATATTTACGCGAAACGCTATGGATTTTCTGATGTTAATTTAATAATATCCCAGCAAAAAAAGTGTGGAAAAAGATGTAGAATTTTCATCACAACTAGTAACCCGAAGTGATTCAAATTCAGGTGAAAAACCTATGAATTTTACATTAGCGTGTCATTGGAGGGATGTTGTTCATTTTTGACAACTTTGAACTACATCTAATCTTGTCTTTAGAAGCTCTAAAAATCCGATATTTGTATGTCAAAAAGAAACCACATTCTTTCAATGAAACGCTTATGTAAATTTCATTGGTTTTTCATCAAAATTTGAAGTACTTCGAATATGTTGTTTGTAGTGACTTTTCTACAACTCTTTTCTCATTTTTAACTGTTTTTTAATTTGTAAGTATATGTTTGGTTTATAAAAGCGAAAAGTATGCAATCGCATTTTTAGATGTGATTAAGATGTCGTTTGTAAAGTATGACATCAATTATTTTTTGCTGGGATGTATTGGTCGACAAAATCAAGTTAAAATCTGTGTATCACGTCGGATTGGAATATTTATAAAGAGATGCATAAAGAGTCACCTCTGTTTTGGAAATATATAATTTTAGTCCTTTCAAACGAGAACACTTTTGCTTACAATTTGATAAACTTAAATCTGTAATAAGCTTGTCTTTGAATTGAACTTCATACTCCGGAATACCAGTATCCCTAATTTAATTGTAAGGCAGAGTATTATTTGTCTGAAATAAAAACCATTATTTCAGTACATATACAGGAAATAAAAATTACAAATCACGCAATACTTTACTTTATAAAAGTTATACAATAAATTTGTAGGGCCTAGCTTCTTCCTGATAAACAACCGAAAAAATAAAATTCAAAAAGTCAACAAAAAATTTGGGATTATTGCACAAAAATAGGAGATATTTGTACATACATATAAAAGCAGAATATTGTTTAATCATGGTTTTTTTCGTTCGTCTTCGCGGACCCCCTAGGATTTTACAACGGACCACTAGAGGTCCGCGGACCCCCATTTGGTAACCGTTGAGTTAAAGAACAACTATACCCGAAGACAGCAGTAAAGGAAGCTTCAAAAAGAGACAAAATAAAGGCTTTCAATGACAACAGAAGAAGCGACTTGCCACAACAATATGAGGGAAATTACACCAACCTATAAAATGTCTCACTAATCGAAATTGTAAAAGCAGCCAACCAGTTCTTGATCGCAGTGCTACACTGCTAACGAACAATGACGCACAAAACAATTTCGAAGAAATTTGTAACATTGCCTCAGATGTAACTACTGAAGCTAACGATGAGGCTCTGTAGATAATGCCTAAATAATATTAAGCAACCCTCACAGTATAAAGGCCCAAATAGACTACACAAGCGGCTTGACAAACATACCAATATTTTACGTTTGTGCAAGCCTGTTGTGTAGTGTATGAGGGTGTTTTCTGTTTGTACAAATGCTTGCTGTTTGTTTGTACAAAAATTAAAAAATTTTGATTTTTACACAAACATATTGAATTTTTGTCAAACCATTTTTATGGTTTATATTCAATAATAACAAATTTTTCAAAAAATTTACATTTCTAAGAAAAATTGACATCTGTATCTTTGAAAGTCTACAAAAACGTGAAAAAATCGGAGTTTGTACGAGCAATGTTTGTGTAATGTGTGTGCGAATGAAAAAAGTATGTTTGGTAAGCCGCTTGTGTAGTCTATTTGGGCCTTAAGTGAGATAAATAAATGGTGAAGACAGAATACCAGCAGAAGTCCTTTTGATTGACATCGACAGCTGAACTTCTACGACAACGTTCTCCAAAAAGACCGCACCAGAAGTAACGGTGGAGGCATTGCTTTCATCATTCATAACACAACGAACAATTCCAGTCTGCAAAGTTGTAACGGATACAACATTCTCCAAAAAGACCGCACCAGAAGTAACAGTGGAGGCATTGCTTTCATCATTCATAATACCGTACAGTATAGAGTTTTTTCTCTCGATTCTAACTCCAGAGACCAATATCTTGAAGTTCAAGGTATTGCAGTTAGATCGGGAGAAACCGACTTAGAGCTCTATAATGTCTGTATTCCGCTAGTAGTCAGCTGTCCAGCAGGCTACCGTCCCGATATCAGGTCTTTGTTAAACGGCGAACGCGTCTTGTCCTAGAGGACTTCAACGCCCACCATCAGCTCTGGCACTCCTGTT